GGGGGGGGGGGGGGGCAGCTGTCGTGCTCCTGGCGGGAAGGGCTAGTGAAGCGTTGAGGTTGTGATATTTGAAGGAAGCTTCTAGTGAGTGACGGTACGTGCCCTACTTTAGTAGCGGGGTCTGTGTCTGTACGGCAGTGTCTCCGCGGTGATACGGGCTACTGCTGTGTCGTACATGTTGTCGTGCAAGGTTAAGAGGAGGGAATCGGGGGAAGGCGGCGGAGGGTGAATCGCGCGTGCGGAAGATCGCCGAGAACTAGGATTCTTTTTGTTTTTAGGAAATGGCATTCGGAAATTGTTGTTGTCTCTTTTGACTAAAAGCACTGCGGTACATACAAGGGTACCATCATTTCCGGCGAGACACGTCCCAGCTGGTCGTGCTGACATCATCGCCTAGCGTAGTGCGTGGCCTGCGGAAACAAATCTTGTCCGTTTTTGGTCGCCGACCGCTCCCCCCTCCTTGCTTGCTTATACCCCCCCGCCCCCTTCCCGAAGAGCCTCCGCAACGTGCGCGGCATGGACATGAGCACCGTCATGGTGCTGCAGGATGGCACCAATGACAAGGTCTGAAACGGCTTCTGTTGTTCAGTATTGTTTTGTTTTTTCGCCTCCTGTTTTTTTGTGCTGTGTTCTACAGTAGGCGTTAACCGCGGAGACGCCCCCAGAGTCTAAAGCCGACAAGGAGCACGAATCGGGAAAAAACTGAATCATTCGTGGAAGAATTTTTTAGAGTGTGTCGTTGTCTTGTGCAAGGCGGACGAACGGTTGTTTGCTATTTTTATTTTGCAGAAGTATACATACATGTATTTTTCGTTTCTCTCCGCTTTTCGATGCCCCCCGGGAATATGCGGAGGCCATCCCTGTGCGCCGCGACCTCTAATCGGCTCTCTCCACGCTTCCCTCCATCTCTCTTTCCGCATCAATCTGCAAGCGTTTTCCTGCTTGACCAGGTACTACATGTGCCTTTTTTTTTTCACTCTTCCGCTCCTCGCTTGGTGTGTTTTCTCACTAAGTATTACGTTTTGTACCGCGGTAAATCTTGCAGGTCGCCGCCGTCGTGCGAGAGCAGAACCTGTACCTCAAGCAAAACACCCAGGCCCCCGGGCTCAGGGGCGGGCCCAAGCCCGGTGACAACGGCGCGAAGAGGATCGCGATGCACTACAAGTTTGCCCTGCAGCATGCCTTCGAAAGGCGCCCACAGGTATTGTAGAAAAGAGGATTGCTTGGGTTGCTTCTGGGGGGGGTTTCGGGAGGGGGGGGTTCCGCGAGATGAGTGGGCGGGGGGGTAGGCAGGAGAAGCTTGAGTCTTGGTTTCATGGTATGATGTTTTACGGGACGATTCTTCAGGGAATGGCACCAACGTTTGCATGCTTGCCTCACTCCTGTCCGGAAATATAAGGGCCATATCGAATAATGTGACTATCCAGACGACACAAACGACCCGCTGTTAATTGTCCCCTCCCCCGCCTCCCCCCCCGGTGTTTGCTATCGGGGTTGGGTTTTCGTCGCTTGGCAACGACGTTGTAAAACAAGCCGCCCCCCTCCGTGTTTGCCATCGGGGTTGGGTTTTCGTCGCTTGGCAGCGATGTTGTAAAACAAGCCGATCACTTCGTGAGCTCGGCAACCAGGTTACCGTTTTTTTTTGCCTTTGTTTTTTTTTGCGGTAACCGTGAATGGTGGTCGAGTTGTCATCCGTACGCAAGGAAGTAAGCACAAGATGCCGAACACCCTTCGCAGGACGCAGCGCACCCTTTCATGCGACTCGCCCAATATCTCACGGTGCTTCGCGCTTGGTGATGTGAGAGCCCGGCCGGTGAGAACCCGGCGTGCTCCGTCCCGGCTTTGTAGGGGTGCGAGGTCAATGGTCTAACGACCACGGCATGCACGACTATGAGTACACCCACCCCCCCCCCGCCGCCTTAAAAACGCCCTTGATTGTGTGTTCAATGGTTGTTATTGTGCGTATGGTGGGGGGAGGGGGGGGGGGGGGGGTTGGCTGCCGTCGTTGTTGATCGTGGTTCAGGAAACCATCCTTCTTGCTGTGCCCCCACGCACGAACATTCCTCCACGGACTACGGTCTGAAAGTCTTGAACATCTTTGGGGAAAAAATTCCTGGGGTGGGGGAACAGCCCCCCAAATTTTTTGCCCGACCCGGGGGCAAAAT